GGGGGGGGGGAAGGGAGAGAGAGGGGGAACATTTCTTCGACTACCATCTTTCCACGAACACATCGCACCATCATCATCGGATCTGTATCAGACCGGAAAAATAGCTTGTATACATTCATTGTGACCGAGCATTCTCCTCCAGGGAAGAGGGGAAAAATAGCTTTTTCAATTCCCTCTTTTTTTCCAACAGAAAAAGAAGGAAAAACAGCCCACCACCCTCATGTTGTTCCTTTTTCTTTTTCGGTTTTTTCCCCTTTCGTTTTCCTTCTTTTTCTTTTTTTTTTTCGCGCCGTATGAAGCGGCCTTCCCGCCATCATGTTTTTTTTTTCCAAGAAGATAATTCATCATCAATTATCTTTCTTTTTTCCTTTTTTTCCCCTTTTTTTTTAATCATTCATCTATCTATCTATCTATCTATCTATCTATCTATCTATTCCAAGGAGATAATTCATCATCAATTATCTTTCTTTTTTCCTTTCCCCCCCCTTTCTTTTATCATCTATCAATCAATCAATCAATCAATCTATCTATCTATCTATCTATCTATTTTTATCGATCTATCTATTTTATCGATCTAATTAATACTTTTACACTGACTTGAAATTTAGATTAAAAAAGAAAAGAAGAATAGAAATTCCGACCCAGGGGACGACCAAAAAAAAATAATATTTTGACAGAAAAAAAAAGCGAAACAAAAAAAAAAAAAAAACTCACCAGAGTGCTGTCGAGAGTTCCCGCCAAAATAAATCGACCGTTGGGTGAGAACTTGACAAACGAAACTGGGGGATTTTCCTCATCGATCAAAGTCTTGAGGCAGTGACCCGTCGCCGTGTCCCATATCCTAATTAGCCCATCATAACTGGATGAAACAATCAACGAGCCATCCCGATTGAAATGCACAGCTGTAACGGGATCTGAATGCGCTGGCAAGGTCTTCAGACACTTTCCGGTTTTCACATCCCATAATCGAACCGTCTCGTCGAACGATCCCGACACAACAACATTACTCTGCGGATTGAAATTCACACAGAACACGTAATTCGTATGCCCTCTGAGTATCTTCAGCACTTCCCGCCTTTTCACATCCCATAACCGAACCGTCTTGTCATCAGACGCAGTACAAAGATACTGCGAATCTGTAGACCAAGCAAGATCAGATATGCCTTCAGAATGACCTTCCAGAGAGGCCTCGAACGTGCCATCTGCGGAATTCCACAACCGAACGGTTTTATCCGACGAGGCGCTGCCAATGAATTCCCCATCGGGAGAAAACTTCACGCTTGACACCGCTTTGCGATGGCCTACAAGATTATGACGGAGTACGTAAGGAGCCATTCCCCCTACTGCACCTGCTCCTCCTCCTCCTCCTCCTCCTTTTGTTGCTGGCGCTGATGCAGAGGTAACTCTACCTCCTCCTCCTCCTCCTCCTCCTCCTCCTCCTTTTATTGCTGCCGCTGATGCAGAGGTAACTGTACCACCTCCTCCTCCTCCTCCTCCTCCTGCTGCTGCTGCTGCTGCTGTGGCGCCGGCGGCAGAAGATGGTTGGTGTCCTGTGGATGAAAGAGGGTGTGCTGCTCCTGGCGCTGCTGAAGATGGCTGCCCTGTACACGGGGTACCAGCTTGGCTAAGAGGATGCTTAACGTCTTGTTCGTCTTTCGCCATACCTGTTCAGGTCATCAAGATCGCCACGTGTCAAGGCAAAACGGCATGTCAAGATTGCCACGTGTCAAGATTGCTGCGTGTCAATGCATAGCCACGTGTCCTGGCAAGATTCGTCAAAACGAGCGAAGCGTCTTGTACACGAAGACCAAATCGAACGTCAAACCTGCAGCCACGAGTCACGTCGTTCGTCCTTCCCTTTGGAAC